TTTTGTAGAGCAAGCTCAGGGCTATCTAATCAATGTAAATTTATCTCGATGTGCCTTAACAGAACGAAACCCCAGGGGATGATTTCCATCCACCCCCTCCTCCCTGTACCCAGATGGAGTATGAGTTAGCCTGCATGTCCCAGGGTTGAAGCTTTCGCCTACTAAGGTATAATAACTTACAGAAATTCCAGACTTGTGAGGTTAGCAAATATTTGGTCAGGTAATGATGTAAGAGCGTAATTTGAAGTGATATGTCTGACAAATCGAAAAAATTGTAATCAGATGAGCAATAACCTTAACAAGATAAATACATTTAACCAATTTTCTATGAGCCATAAAACCTACTTAATGAAGTCTTATTTCTCTGATACCTCTTGTTGAGGTATGGAATTATTTTGTATTATATTTAGAAGCCTAATGAAGCTAGCCGCACACTGGCCGACTTTTTGTCGCGACTAACCGCGTTGAGGCTTGGGGCCGAGTCATCCAAAATCAAGATGGCACCTACTTTCCACTGACGTGACTCTCACGACATTTCCTAATTGGTTGAGGCGCACGCGAGCCCTGATAAATTGTCCTGGTCCACCGCAGACTAGCCGACAGACGTTTTGAGATCTAGCATTATCAGATATCGCCCAACAAGCCCCGATCTTGTCACAGACTTGTCTGAATTCACCGCAAACTAGCCGACAAGTGAAGTTTTTTTGTCGGCCGACAAAAAAATCGGCTAGTGTGCGGCGGCCTTAAAGTTTAGCAGTTGATGCGAAACTTAAAATTCAACGGCCGAGAAAGTTTGGGAGAATTTAAGTTTGGAAGAATTTAAATTCGAGTTATTTACAGGCTGCCATGCTGGCAGCAAGCTAGAAAGTTCATGAATACTCTCTAAATTCCTCTTACTTTCCCAGCATTTGAATCAAAACTATGCAAACAGGATGGGCTCATATCTCATTTCTTGAATTAAACGAAGTGAAGAACTGATCTAGTGATATGCCATAATCGTCAAAAGATTGTGTAAGATGACCACGCAACCTATAAGGGGCGTGTCCATATATGATTACAATTTTACAACATTAATAATATACATGAAAAAATCACTCGATTCTGATTGGCTGAGAGCAGTGCAGTTCAAGCGTAACACCAGTGCAAAAAGTGTAACACTAGTTCAAATTACACATCATAATTCTGGATTATGATTAGCTGAAAAAAAAAATAGGAAATTTTGTAAGCCAATGATACCACGTAAAATGATGACAAAAATTTTGTGCGGAAACTTTGAAAAACGTTTTCGCGAATGAAAAAAAATGGCTCCATCTAAAACACCTTCCGGCCATTTCTCCACGCGAATTTTTTCATGTTTCTATTATTTACAAGGAATCATATGGTTTTTCTCGTTCAATTTGGAATTAATTTCCACTTGTGAGTTTTCCAAAAAAGCTGAAATTGCACTCGCCGAAGTGGCTCGTGCAATTTCAGCTTTTTGAAAAACTCACTCGTGCAAATTAATTCCAAATTGAAGCCCGAAACCGTATGATTACCTATTCCAATTACATTTCCTATTATGCCGTTCATAGCAAGTTAATCATCTAACGAGTTATGTTTTAGGTTCCCGTTTTTCTTACAGCCATATCAGATTCCTCAGATTGCCAAGTATTCTGTCAGGTAAAACCGTAAGAAATTTTGAAGAGAAATACCTGTTTGATAAAACAAGACATAGTTCAGGCCTAGCTTGTCATTAAG